GAAAGCACCACATAAACCTCGAAACGAGGATGAAGTAGCTATCCAAATGAAATTTGATAGGTTTATCAGGTAAGTTCGTATGTTTATTAAAACGTCCCAATATTAAACTATTAATATTACCAACTTAAAATGTTTATGTAATAAACATATATTATTATAAATTATTATATTATTATATATGTTAAGCATATATTATTTCTGTATCGCTCGAATTTGATCAGTATGGTATTGATCAATGTTGTTCCATTAACACAAATTCCGGACTGCTTATTTCTTGCTAATTACATTCATCATATAGTTTCAAATTATCATTTTTAAATAAGAATTTTACGCATCTTGCCTCCACCCTCCCAATATTCTTCCCAAGTTGGCGCCACTGCATACAACACATATAGAACTTACAAATTAGTATTAAAATTTTTTAATTATAAATTTCTGTAAATTCTAAGTACAAATAATTTGTGCGTTTATACAATTTAATCTCGATTCTATGTTTGCAGAACGTTCACGATAACATACGCTCTTATAATGACGAGTTCCATTACAGGCATCACTATGGGATCAATATTAAAAGTTATGCATGGTCATTTTCCTAATCGAGTATGGATCCCATGGGATTCCAATATACCTGTGGTGTTTTGGTTTATATCTATTCATCAAATCATAACTACACTTTTCGCCGCTTTCACAGATGTCGGCATGGATACTCTAATCTTAGGATTGTTTTTGCAAACGTGTGCTCAGCTTGAAATTTTCGAAAGTCGTCTTCACAAATTAATAATTAATAAAACAGTTCGAGATCAGGGACGTAAACCTTCGATGTCGAATAAGGACGAAGTGGAGATATCGGAAATCGTACGTCATCATCTCATCATTTACAAGTGAGTTATGTTTATATGCATGTTTATATTCAAAGGCCTATTTATACGTGCGTGCGCGATTGAGGGTCTGCGTATTTGAATTAATTTCTGTATTTGAAAATCGCTATTGTCTATAACGATATAATATTCAATATTTATGACGAAAAGGTGTTGAAAGTAAAAGGATCATATATAACTAACGTTATTATATATACAATTGTTAATAGAACTACATATACTAACATACAATAATACTAACATACAATTGTTAAGAGAACGGAGCATGCATTTCAGCGTGATTTTATTGTACGGACATTCTGCGATTAATTGTGTGAGACATAAATTAAAAATTAGATCTAAATGCTCGCATAGAATTAAGTTTAAGTAGATTTTGTTTTAATAAATGATACATTCTAACATTTTTTTTTTACAATTTTTGGATTTGTACAAATCATGTTATAAAATTATATATGGAAAGTGTAATTGCTTTACTCATATGCAGTATATGAAGAACTAACGTGAAACGATTATAGATACGCTAAAACGGTAAATATTATATACAACCAAGTGATCTTCTTTCAATTCTTTGAAAGCATAGTGGTATTATGTACATGCATTTATTACTTGACAATGTATATTAATGAACTGTTTGCATTAGCGAATTTTTTGGGATATACCATTGTCATGTTTGTACAAATCTTCGTTTATTGTTGGTCTGCAAACGAAGTCATTCTTAAGGTAACAATTGATATAGTCTACAATCCATATCAAAATGATGTACCTTAGTTAAGAAATGGGAACTTGCAAGTGCTTTACTGTTATAACTCATTTTTTTACAAGATTTTGAAGTATAATTTAGCGTTTTATAGAACAAGCATATTTGAAAATAATCAATAGACCTGTATGCGTATATAAAGTTTTTACGCATATAGATATATGTAATGCTTGTAATGTTAAAAGATATTGATAATTAGTCAGTATTATTACGAAATGTTAAATTTAATTATATTGTGTTGTCAGAGTACAAGTGTAGGAGACGCTATATATTGCACGAACTGGCCATTAATACCAGTTAACGAACAAAAGGACTTGCTGTTAATCATGATGCGAACCACAATTCCTATAACGTTCACAAGCAGCTTTTTGGTAACCCTTTCTCTTGAATCTTACGGCAATGTTAGTAATCTTGTTGTGATAAATATTTTAATAACAAAGTAAATACTTGTGCGCGAAATTATATCAATGACTGCACATTTGTGGTGCATGTCGGAAAACGTACAAGTCAAAATTTTTATAACTGCACTGCTTTCTATTTTATTTCTCTAATTTTCCTTTCAGATCTTGAAAGCGTCATACTCGGCATTTAATGTGCTTACATAGTAAGGTATAAAGAACCAAACGTGTAATTGGGCATAATTATTATGTAGTTTTCTTTCATAAATTAATTAATAAATCTGAAAGTTTCTGTTTAGATATTTGTTTCAATATTACTCTCTATTACGAGTCCAGGAATAATGGCGTCAATGCACGCAAATTGAATACAAATATTTTACATAGTGTAATGAAATGCATGTTTCTAAACCTGGAAATTTATGTTTGCGTATTTTTTTCAACCTTACTTTTATTTTGATTTTAAAAATATTAACGCGTGAATATTGCACGTAGACATTTTACACTGTAATATCATGCACGTTTTTATCTGACGTACAAGCAGCACTAATTTCGGTTCTAGCATTAAAGTCAGAAAATAATAATTTCTTAGGCTATATGCTACATGTGATGTATTGAGTATAGAATTAATAGATTGTCGTTTTCCTGTACACTCGTTATACCTCATAGTATACAAGCAACTTGAAAAATATGCTCTGACATTGAGTATATAGTATTATACATCACATTCTTTATACGATCGTCTGGTATTTTTATGTAATATAAAACGGGAAACTTTGCGGACGATACGATATTCTTCGTAGTTCCGATGGACAAGAGGTATACAAATAATTGATTCAACTGAAATATAACAACGTGCGTGAATATAAAGGACGACTTCCCTCGATGACAGCAAGTAGAAAAACTTTTACAATTGTAGTATTCGCATAAACGGAAAAGAGCGTGCACTCCATAATAAATGATTAAATGACCTCATGTCGATTTTTTAATGGCGGTAATTGTAGTAGGGTTGACAAGATGCTGAAGAGGGTAAAACTATACACAGTCTGTTGCAAAACGTGCTTGGTTACACTTAAGTGAAATTTATTGACCATTACGATAATAAAATAACATATTGTATTAGTCTATTTGTTTTATAATTCTGTTGTATTATTAACCACAATACTGAGGAACCGATATTCCGAAATAAGGTGTGTTATTATAAATATATTGCATAACGCTTATAAATATATTGCTTTCTGGTTATATTCTCACAAATCATATATTGCATTACGTTTAAATAAGGTTGTCCAGTTTTTAATCCGCGATAGCATTGGATGCGATCTGTACATTAAATGTATAAAATCTTTCTTAATCGGATCACGTATTTAGTGTTTCCAATTTAAATCAGGTTGTGGAATTTAATACTTCACACGTAATCTATTTATACAACTTTATTTTACCTTTTGCATTAAATATAATTTTTCTTACTATTGCCTTACACTGAACATTTAATTAATTATTTAAAAAAAGATACTTTTTGCAATTCTGTAAACTACGTTTTTTTAGATACTTTACATGTAGAAAGAGGCTATACTTTTGTGAAATACGTCAATAAGTTGTTTGGAAAGAAAGAGATACAAATATGCAAATACTTTCTTTAAATTTTTTAATACATACATTTTGTGGTATATGGCGACCTATTGAATGGTCATCGAATGGTGCTAAGCTGCTGTATAGTATATTTACCTGCGGTGTAATATCTTCGGAATACTTTATGGTGTTAACTCAATTTATGGATATAGTACTTGTTGTCGACAATATCGATGATTTTACCGCTAATACACTATTGTTCTTGTCTATGGTTAACGTTTGTTGTAAAGCGACTTTCGTGGTGATACGTCGAAATGCGATCATCGACGTAGTGAGATCATTGTTGAAAGCACCACATAAACCTAGAAACGAGGATGAAGTAGCTATCCAAACGAAATTTGATAAGTTTATCAGGTGAGTCCGTATGTTTATTAAAACGTCTCAATATTAAACTAATAATATTACCGACTTAAAATGTTTATGTAATATTTTATATTATTATATATGTTAAGTATATATTATTTCTGTATCGCCCGAATTTGATGAGTATGTTATTAATCAATGTTGTTCCTTTAACACAAATTCCGGGCCATTTATTTCTTGCTAATTACGTTCATCATATACTTCCGAATTATCATTTTTACATATAAAAAGATTCGGTAACTTTCAACATTTTGTTTAATTATTAAACAGCTTTTTATTAAAGAAGTTTCTTCAATATAATTTTAAATTAATTATTAAACATTCAACTATAGGCGCCGAATTTGTGAGGGCAGAGCACTTTTTGGCCCACTAATAATTTTTATTGCTGCAGCGCCCCTACAATAATTTTGAAATTACAAATTTTGATAAGGTCGTTCGTTTACTACAGCAGAAACAATATCTTGTGGATTTGCTGCCAGAGTTGGCCAAATTTGTAAAA